TCTCATTTGGTTTGTTTACTTCTTTAGTGTCTGCACCGACCCCCCAAACGGCTGCTCTACCAGAGCAATGCTCTTTCCTGCCTTACTTCCTGCTGAATCCCAGTGCCTAAAACGCTGTCTTCCATGAATACTTACTCAATGAATGAACACCTGAGCAGAATAGAGTCCGCAAGTGCAGATGGAATTTTAAAGTCACCTCTCTTGATTTCCGTTTTCTCATTTGTCAAAGCCAGGGGGCGGGGAAGGGGGGGAAGCGGGGGGCGGGGCGGGGCGGGGTGAGAACTCCTACCTGATCCTTTCAACAAGGCGTTGTTGGACCCAGACAGTAAATCCCTGGTCGGTTAAGCAAATCCTGCGCGGTAGGTCTGGGTGCAACACCGCCAGTGGCCAGTGGGTGGCAGCAAGTCACTACAGTTGAACGTGACAACACCTGGGCCTCCCAAGGCACGGAACACCTGAGGTTTAATCCCCCAACTGCCAACCTTGTTTATTTTCACCCTCTGGGATGCAAGACTTTCTTAAATCGTGCACGCCCCTGCTGCCCTGAAGGGAGAACACCGATCAGGCGTGTGAATTCAAATACCAGCTCTGCCCCTTCCCCCTGGTGCCCCAGGTTCCTTCACTTCTCTAAAGTGGGCGTCATTGTGAGCTCACCCGGTTGTTCTGAGTCTCCAGCAGATATCGCTGTGGAAGGACAGTATGTGGAGTCACGAAAGGGCTTTGAGGACTGCAGGGGCTTTGGGGTAGCCAGCTGGAGCCTGGACCTGCAGAGACTCCCATGAGCACCTCATTCTCCAGCCTGTCTATGTCCACGGCCACCATGGCGCACCTGCACCCATGCAGCTGAACATGGCTGAAGACCGACACATCGGGTGGCCCGCCTCGCTCTAGACTGGCCCCCACAAACCTTGGGTGATCCCCTGTGCTGGCAATCGAATCCCATTTCACTGGCCCATTCACTCTCCCGCTTTTGGGACTTCCCCCTCTCTGCCCCTCTCCTCAAAACACCAAGGCCCCCTTCTGCCCCCTCCCTCACAGCCCTGACCTTACCAGTCAGAAGAGAACCCCAGGGCACCTGAGTGGCTCAGTTGTTAAGCATCTACCTTCAGCTCAGGTCATGATCCCAGGGTCCTGGGATCAAGCCCCGCATCGGGCTCCCTGCTCTGCAGGAAGCCTGCTTCTCCCTCTCCCACTCCCCCTGCCTGTGTTCCCTCTTTCGCTGTGTCTCTCTCTGTCAAACAAATAAATAAATAAAATCTTAAAAAAAAAAAAAAAAAAGAAGAGAACTCCACTTTCTCCCAAGAACCTGCGGTGCCCACGGTGTGCCCGGCCTCCCTCCCTGGGATGTGCTGTCCAAGCTCCCACTCGGCTCTTGCAACTGTCTCCTCTCTTCTGCATTTTAATTATCTTCCCCAATAATGAGCATCCCTGGGAGCCTGCAAACTGTAATAGTTCTCATCTTAAAACAAACCTCCTGATCTGGCCTGCTCTTCTTCCAGCCACCCCCCATTTCCCGCTGCTGCTGGTTCTGGCACAACTTCCTGGAGGGGGGCAGCCCACACCCACACTCTCTGGACCCCACTTTGACCAACCTCCTCCTTCCCTGCACCAAGCCTCTGGTTAAGATCACCAGTGACCTTCTCTTCCCAATCCCACCTTTGGCCCCCACCACACCTACCTCTGGGCGGTATTTGACGGTTGGGCATTTCCTCTTAGAAATGCTTCTCGGGGCGCCTGGGTGGCTCAGTCGTTAAGCATCTGCCTTCGGCTCAGGTCATGATCCCAGGGTTCTGGGATCAAGCCCCGTATCGGGCTCCCTGCTCAGCGGGAAGCCTGCTTCTCCCTCTCCCATTCCCCCTGCTTGTGTTCCCTCTCTCGCTGTGTCTCCCTCTGTCAAATAAATAAATAAAATCTTTAAAAAAAAAAAAAAAGAAAGAAAAGAAATGCTTCTCTTGTTTCTGTGCCTTGTGTTTTCTCTGGCTATGCTCACTTCCTGGTTGGCCTGGGAGGCCCCAGGGATGTCAAGTCCTTGGGGTGCCGACACTGCCCATGTTCGTATCCCCCGTACTGAGCCCTGGCCCTGAACCCAGGGATTGTGTGTGTGAGACTCCATTTGGAGGTTGGATAGACTGCTCCAGCCTGACTTGTCAAAGCTGAGCTCTCGATTTTCACCCCTCCTAACCTGCTTCTCCTCCCCAGCGTCCCCGTTTATGTATCAGCTGCTCCGGCCAAATGCCCCGGAGTCATCCTTGACTCCTCTCCTCGCCCCAGGTACCCCAGTTGGTCCCTCAGCAGATCCTCTTGACTGAACCTGTCCACCCTGTCCTGGACTGGCCACTCCTCACCACCAACAGCCTGACCGCCCATCATTTTCCCAAACTGGCAGGAGCCCCCTCAGATTCTCTCTGCGTTCCGCTGCATGGATCTGTTCAAACCCTCCAGGGCCTCCCCTCCAGCTCACAACAAAGTCAAAGCCCTGCCTTACCATGAGGCCTGACAAATCACCGCCCCCAGCCCTACCCCTGCCTCCTCCTCCCCTCACTCACTCTGCTCACCCTCCTGCAGCCCCTTGCGTTTTTGTTGTTGTTGTTGTTGTTGTTTTTTGACAGTCTCCATCCCTGGCATCGGACTTGCCATTTGCAACGCCTGGGACTCTGATCTAGCGACCACGCCTGGGACTCTGATCTAGCGACCACGCCTGGGACTCTGATCTAGCGACCACACGATCTCTCAGGTCTCTGCTCCTATGCTCCCCCCACCCCCGGACTAGCTGACCCTGGTCCTTCTGCCTAAAATAGCATATCTTCCTTTAGTCACTATCCTCTGGCTCTGCTTTATTTTTCCTCATAGCACGTACTTTGTTATATATGTATGTGCTCGTTTAAGCTGTCTCTTTTCCCAACTGGAAGGTAAGCTCCACAAGCCTGGATTTTCATTGTGTGTTACCTGGGCCTAGAACAGTGCCAGGCGCACACTAGGCCCTCAGATTTCTGCTGAGCGAATGGATAGAGAGGTGGACGGATGGAGGGTTGGGTGGATGGATGGAGGGATGGAGGGATCAGCAGATTGGATAGATGAATGGATGGACAACCACGGTTATAGCATCAGAGGGCAACACACAGAGCACAAAACACACCAGCATCTCTTTATATCTTCCCTAAAGCCCACTTATGTTTGTGCTTCCAGATACTTTGGGGGGTGGGGCGGTTGGGGTAGCTGTTTCCACCCCCAATTTTCAGGCACTGGGAAGAGGTGAATTGGGAACAGGCTGCAGGCTGTCTGAGACCTCCGGGGTGGCCCCCGGAACCCAACCCTTCTCACGTATCTGGGGGACAATTCTCCTTAGTCCTGGGGTGCTGGGAGAGTCCTCTGCTGTTAGCTGAGCTGAGGAGGCAGCAGCAAGATGGGTAGGGCTGACTCTGGCGGACGGGGGGGACCATCGCAGAGGCTGGGAGTCAGTGAATGGAGAAGCTTAACAAGGACACAGGAGGTGGGCGCCTTCGGCCTCTGGACCCTCACCAGCCGAAGGAATGTGGGTAGTCATCCTGACATGTCCCTGCCCTCGCCTCTGCCAACTTCCTTCCCTGTAGGATTGTTTTCTTTTCGAGCTCAGAGCTCCCCAATTACTATTTTTAAAGTTTTAGCGTGCCCAGAGGACACACAGGAGTGTCCATCCTATTTTGGACTTGGCTGTTTTCACACCTTGTCCTTCCAACCTCCCAGCCTGGAGGCTTCTAGGACTGAGGCCAGGTCGGCGCACCCCCAGGGCTGGCCCATTAGCTGTGTGGCCAGAGGCTATGCCTGCTCCCTGAGGACCCCCAGACCTTGGGGGCAGTGTGGGGGGGGTCTCTGAGTGGGCCAGACCTGGGACCAGGGGCAGCCAGAGGCAGGGCCCTGGACGTGAACTGACCTTGCTTGAGGATTTGCATTATTGGACTTACTCCTCTCAACAACCCAGTGAGGGTGATACTAATACCCGAGGGGAAACTGAGGCACTGACACCCCTGTGGGCGTGTGGGGGAGCCTGGAGTCACTCCTGGCCTGTCTGAGCCAGTAGTCTCACCACGAGAGTGGGTGCTGTAGCTCACGCAGACCTTCCTACATCAGCACAGGGGTCACTAACTGAACGAAAGGAAGGTACTGGTCCGTGCAGGCCACCTCATGTCCAGGACATAGCCTTCAGGGGGCACTTGCTGTCTGGGCACAAGGCTATCAGCCCTCCCCGACCAGGGTCTGGGGGGTAAGGAGCAGGGAATGTGGGGGCAGCTGCCTGAGGAACTAACCTAGACTTCAGTCAGGCCCACTTTGGGAGAAAACGTTTTGAACCTTGGAAGTTGCCTCATCACACTCAGAAGCACTCAAACCTCTGCCTCCCCCACACCCCCACCCTGCGTTTCCCCACATGGCATACCAAGGTGTTTGGAGCACTTCCACGGTCGCCTCCCAACCTAAGGTGCTGTCCCCAGCAGGCTTCTGTGGAAAGGATGTGCCAGTAAAGGACAGTTCTAGAGCCCCCTCCCCACCTTGGGGACAGAGCCCTAGATTGGGCAGAGAGGGGATCCTGGGGCCGAGGCTGTGAGAGACCCTGAAGCTGGTAGGGAAGGGACATCTGAGAAGGAAACTGGGGAGTAGTGGCAAACACAGCAGAGTGGGGGCCTGGCCAAGGGGCTGAGGGTCAGCTGGGGCCACACGGTTGCCTGATTATGCCCTCAAAGGCGTGCTGCACACCTCAGAGCTGGCAGAGCCCCCCAGGGGGACTACCTTGGGCTTACCCGGGGAGCAGCTACAACAAGGTCAGCACCAAAGGCGGAGGCCAGTGTCAAAGGTCGGTCAGACACTTCGGGCTTTGCTGGGGCCGGTGCGGGGAGTAGGGTATTTCTTGGGCCTGGGGCTGCAGAGCTTAGCCACGTTCTTCTTGCCAAACTCAGATCCTGCTGCGATCCCCTCCATGCCCTGCCCCCTGTCTCCCTCTGCGGACACCTGAGCCCGGGCTCCATGACCTAGCAGATGGAGGCGGGCGGGAAGCCACTGGAGGTGGAGCTCATGGTGGAGGTGTAAGAGCCCATGGAGGGAAAGACAAGCCAGTCGCCCACATCCAGCTCGGGCATCCGCAACTCCCCTAGGAAGAGCTTGTCAAAGGCATCACATGTGGGACCGTAGCAGGTACGGGGGAAGAGGGACGGCTCTGAGCCGAACTCCTGCAGGGAGCAAAGAGCAGGGACTCGGAGAAGGAAGAGCCCCAGCGGGTCCCCCCAGCCCAGTCCCCGGGGCCGGCAGGGCACACCCGCAGGGCCCCAGCAGGAAAGGCTCCCACACGGACCCTTATCAGCCACCCACGGTGACCAGGGAGCGAGCGGTCTGTATGTGCCAGGCACTGTTCTCAACCCTGCCCTCATGGGGTTGACAGTCTAGTGACATAGCCCCGCCCCGCCCATTCACAAGTGTGGGCACAGATAGGATCTCGGTGTCCCCTACACAATGGGAATAGTTTATTCAACTGTCACTCAACATACTGGCCTCACACTTGGCGGCCCATCGGGATCACCTGGGGAGTTTTCACAAAGGCCTGAGGCCAGGCTTTCAACCCACTTGGGATTCCGATTTCAGCGGTCTGGGGCATCGCCTGGGTGTTAGGGACTCTTAAAGCTCCCCAGGTGATCTAATGTGGAGCCAAGTTTGAGAATCTCTCCTTCCTAAGTTTCCCGCACCACCAGCATTCAAGAATTCTGGAAACACAACGTGTGTGTGCAGAGATGCACATGGAAACACACAGAGCCGAATAGATGCGCACGCACACCTACAGACTCACGTACCTGCACACCCACCTACCTGTACATCACGCCGGCCCCCACACACAGAAGTGCACATGCAGGTACACAAGGCACCCATGTGCGCGTCCCTGAACACGCGTGTGGCGTGGCAGTCTTCAAAGCCATCAACAGTCAGAGCTCCTTCACCTCCCCACCTGCCACGGCGATCCCCGCCTCTCGGGACTGGGGGCTGTAGGCAGTGGCCTCAGAGACTAGGAGTACCTGAGCCACACGGGGCCCCCTTACCTTCACCACAATGGGCATCCTGGGGACAGCCTCCCTGAGGAAGATGCGGAAGATGCCGTAGTGGCCCTCACTGAGGTACTATACCAGCTTCCGGTGGCCTCCTGGGAGCGGGGAGAGGGCAGCCCCGAGGTGCACGTGGCCCGTCTCAGCACCCACCCTCTAAGCCCAAGCGTGGGAGGGGCCCCGATCCGCGGCCCAGGGCCAGAGAGCTCCTGCTCTCGGCTCCAGGAGTCTTCCCGACCCCATACCAGGCTGGGGCCTGTCATCTGGGTTCCCGCTGTTCCCTCTGCCCAGCCGGCCGACCTAGCTCACCCCTTCCTGCCCTCGAAAACTACACTGGAGTCTCTCACCCTGGCTTTTTGCTCGATCCTTCTGCCCCTGCCCCACCTGCGTGCTTCTCCCCGGGCTCCACGAGGCATGCCAGGTCCCCTGTTTCTAGGGAAATGTGAGTAAAAACTTCTCCCTTTGGGACAGTGCCCACGTCCTACTACCAAGCCAGTTTCTTCACAACCACTTAGTCTGCAGACTATTGCTTTCTTGAATCTAAACTCAGGGTTATACAAAGGCATTCCAGCTACCACTGAGATACTCACATCTTTCGGAATATTGTTTTTCCCCCCTCGGGGTCTTCTCCCCACTGTCTTCTCCTTGGTGTCAGTCACCCCATCTCCTCCCCTCCCCGCCAGCTGCCATTACCGATCCTGTCTCCAGGGACACCGGCCACAGGTGTCCTAAGCCACTTCGCCATGACATCCTCAAGGCCGAGACCTCAGCGAGTGACCAGCGTTGCAGCCAGGCAGATGGGGGGCCCCACTACACCCCTAACTCACCGTGCTGTGTGGACAAATTCCTTCCTCTCCCTGAGCCTCAGTATTCCCACCTGTAACATGGGAATGACCCAAAACTACCCCCTAGGATTGTTGAGAGAAATGAGACAAAATAGGTATTTCACACAGAATACTTAATTATTAGCAGCTCTTATTATCGTGGAAATAAAAATAATAAGCCCCAAATACTTATAACTTGGAATTCTGTTAAATGGATGGCTAAAATCCTGTGCTGCATATCCCAATATTCTTTAACCACACACTTTGTGGGGAAATGAAATCAGTTGACACAAGCACCTTTGGGATTAAAAGTTGTGTGGGCCAGCATGTGTCACAAGGATAAGGGAGGAGATTACCGGGATTTATAAATATTTTTATGTCAGTTATCACGAAGCCACAGAATAGAGTGGTGAGACCTATTCGTACTCTCTCTCTCATCATGAAACCGAGTTTCTGGTTAGTTCACTGTGTGAGAACAGCCACCCCACCCACTCCTGCTGCAAAAGTAACCATCTAGTAACTCTCCCATGATGGTTGACCTCAATTGTCAAAAGGTTTCCTGTTACCCTCTAGATGTCACCCTTAACCTTCAGGCCACAACAACGACAATGTTGCCTTCCTATATTTTTTGTAAGAATTTGTATTGACTCAGTGTATTTTTCATTATAAGAATCTGCACCTGTTAGAAAGCACTTTCTGGAAGGATTTCAAATGCACGTTGGGAGCACAGTGGTGTCTGTGGCCTCATGAGCTGTATTCTGTGACTTTGCCTCCATAAATGTGATCTAAATTCATGGGCGGCTCAGGAGGGGTAAGGACTTTGTCTTGGCTCTCTCTACCTCCCAGTGAACTTGAGAACGACACAATAGTGATACTAACAGGTTCATTCTTTTTCCCGATTCACAGCTTGCCTCTCACTAATTAGGCACTGCGGGGAGGAGCCCAGACCCTCCGTCCCTCCTCTTCACCAGGGCCCGGGGACGTCTGCACAGTGCCCTCCCACCTCCCCCAGTGCTGACCCACCCACCAGATTCCAGCACAGTCTTCTTGGCAATGAGGTTGGCAGCTGCCATGTAGACAGACGCCGCGTAGAAGCGTCCGGGCTCCGCGATGATCTCTACACCGCTCTCCACGGAGAAGTCCTGGGCCAGGACAGCATTGATCACCCTCGCTATCTGCAGGGACAGACCCATATGACCGCTCCCTATGTCGGGGCTTTACCTGCACCATCCCCCTTCGTTCCTATAATAGCACTGTGGGGAGGTGTTATCATCCCCACTTTACTAGGGAGGAAAGAGAAACTGTGGCCCAGAGAGGGGAAGTCACTCGCCCAAGGACACAAGCAGGTGTACAAGCTGTAGCACCCTGAGATGTCTGAATTCCCAACCACTGAAACCAATACATGGTCAGCAAAGATGGGATGGTCCCTGGATGGGGGGCACAGGGAGCTTCTACCTGACTGCAGCTCAGGGACAGCAAGTAACATGTCTAAACACAGACATGGAGCCAGGCATTCACACATGCTCGCATGTGCCCACAGGCCATGTGCACTGAGTCAGACAAAGACCTCTCAACAAAGACACATCCCAGCTACATGCATGCACCTGACTCAGTTACAAGAGCTCCCCCTACACGCAAGCACGTGCACACTGTCCCCCGAACCCAGCCCAGGCTCTCTCTGGTCCTCCTCTCCAACCTCCTCAAATTTAGGCTCGCAGCCCTCCTCTCCCGGGAAGCCCCCTCCGATGTCCAGGAGGCCCATCTCGAACACGCATCGGCAGTCAGCCAGGGCCTGGGTGAAGGCGCGCACCGTCTGGCATTTCAAGCCCATGTGGAAGCTGGACGCAGGTTGCGTGACACGTAGAGAAACACACATGGGAACGTAAGGTTCAGTAAGAAGGGGGACATTCCGAAACGCCAACACGGGTAAAATGCGGAGACCAGTACGGATACACACATCGGGACACACGTGACTACGGCAGCCCGCACAAACACGCACCCCTGGATATACGTGTGGGTGTCCGCAGAGATGCACACATCGCCCGTGACTGGCCTTGAGTTGGGGTGCTCATGGTCGTACGGCAGTCCCTTCTCTGGGCTGCCGCCTCCCAGTGCTCCGTTGCAGTGTTCCCCTTCCCCTCCTTAGAGGGCGTGTGATCAGAACCCCAAATCCCAGGGCACCCCCCCGACACTCCCGCAAGTAGGTGGGCTGAGGAACCAATCGGGGCCAGGTAGTGGGAGGCAAGGGAGGCCCTTGGCTCAGGTGCAAAATTTAAGGGGGTGCCAGAATACTGAGCCATCAAGATAAATAGCATTTAATGCAATATTTTTAAGAAGCAAAATTGATGCAAAAACATCCCCAACGAATGAAACACAGAAACTTTAAATAAAGGCAAAATTGGTAACAGTGATTGGACTTCGGGGCAAAAGGAAAAGTCAGGAATTCCAGTCCTGTCTTAATTTAAAATTTTGATATTTTCCTCAGCATGGATTTTTTGCATTAATCTTGAGTTTTTAAAATATTGTATTAAGATGTTACTTATCTAGAGTACTAAGTTTTTTGGCATCCCCTTACATTTTTCACCCAAGGTGGGTGCCTTGCTTGCTTGCCCTGCCCTAGTCCCAGATAACACCCAGCTTCTTTGCTGAGGACAAATGGAGTATCCTGAGGCCCAGAGGGGCCACGGCTGACCAGAGGGCAAAGACTGGAGACTGGCAGTGAACCCCAGGACCCGTGCTTCCCGGGCAGGGAAAACCAGCACTCTCACCTGGCTCCAACCACTGCCCACCCCAGGGCCCTGGCTGACTTGAGCAGATGTTCACACACCTCCAGGGTGGCCCCGACCTTGGCGCTCAGGGGGAACGTGCTCTCGCTGTCCTGGGTCCACAGCCAGAGGACCAGCCTGGGAGAGGGTGCAAAAGATGCCAGGGGTTTTTAGACACGTGAGCGCCGAGGCCTGGATGCTTTACCCGCCCCCCTCTCCCCAATGTTTCTCCACCTTCCCACCTGTCCCTGCCTAGTTCCTCCAGCCGCTGAGTCCCAAGAAACGAAAACACTCACCACTTAGAGACTTCTGCCCAGGCAAGAAAAAGCAGGAAAGTGATAAAATCTGAAACATGAACCCTGGTCTACCTGACTCCAATGTGAGTGCTTTTTCCGTGAGGTCGCCTGACCCTAGGCCTCCTAATGCCAGGTTCTGCCCCAGTGTCTATGCAGATATTAGCAGTATTTCTTTGGCACCAGTGTGCACCAGGGAAGGCACGGGGCCCACTGACCCAAAGGCTTGTACTCTGCTTCTTGAACCTCTCCCAGGTCACCCCATGGGACCACCTTCATCTGGTTGTGGAGGCCCAACTCCACTGGCAGAGGCCCCAGGCTTGCTGTGCCTCGGCCCATCTGTTTGCACCTGCCTGCCCCACCCTGCTGGTCTCACCTGGCCTCGGGGTGGTGCTGGGCCACCTTGCTCAGCTCCTCCTCACTGTCGAAGGTCAGGAGCCGCAGCCCGTGGAGGGCAGTGTACTGGATGTGGGAGACAGGCTTGCAGGGGTTGGCATACATGATGCACGAGGGGGCGACGCCCAGGCCCAGCACCTGCTCCAGCTCCACCTGGCATGGGGACGACTGCATCAGGGGCTTGCTCCCCACCCTGGCTCTCTGGGGCCAGAAACCCGGGGCATGAGCACAAAGGGCTGCCCTTGGCTGAATCCCTCCTCTGCACCTCGCACTGCGCTGGGCACGTCTGTGCCACTTAGGCTTCTAGACAACTCTCAGGAAAGCACAGGTGGCCCCATTTTAAAGAGGAAGAACCTGCAGTGTGTGAAATGACTGTGCAGGCACAGGAACGGGGCCTGTGGCTCAAAGTCTGTGCCCTTCCATTCACTGGCTTCCGTTGCCTGCCCCAGTCACGCGGCCCAGCGGCAGGTCGACCCCCTATAGTTCATTCATTTCTTCCTTCAAAATCAAGTGAGTATTTCCTGTCTCGGCCACTGTCCTAGGTGCCGTAGGCCCCACTCCGAGATCCCCGGCGGCTGGCCTCCTGTCCCCAGGAAGTGTCAAGCCCTCGAATGAGGCCCCCGGCAGCGGGCACAGGCTCACCTGGCTGGCACGGTCGAAGCCGGCGCCCAGGGTGGCCAGGACACGCAGTCCCCAGGTGCTGTTGTTGCACTTCATGGCATAGAAGGGTGGGACCCGCGGCAGGGTGCGGCAGAAGGCCTGATGGTGGCTGGCCAGCACGCCCAGTTGGCGACCCTGAAGGGGTCTCGGTGGTCCTGCCAGGGCCGGGAAAGAGGGAGGGGAGGCTGGGTGGTGGGTGCCTCATTTAGTCTTCACAATGACCTTGTGCAGTCAGTACTAGTGCTAGTGCCATTTTATAGATGGGACAACAAGGGCTCAGAAATAGGAAGTCACTGGCTCAAGGTCATACAGCGAGTACGTGGCAAAGACAGGATCTGACCCCAGATCTTCTAACTCTTTAAACAGGGAGACGTAAGGGCAACAATGATCTTTGTAGATCAAAGTGGGGGCAAGGCAGCTCCAACCCCCCACTACACAGCCTGGCACCGGGCAGTTACAATTCCATGGGGTGATGGGAGGTATGAGAAAGGGACAGAGAAACTATTCCATGACCCCCAGCAGAACTGAGCCTTGGAATAAGACCTAGTAAACAGAGCTATAGAACCACAAAACAGAAAGTCTTATTTCTTGTCCACCAAAGTAGGGACTGAGACTCACCCTCTCTGCTCCCTACTCCCTTCCACCCCCAACCTCCCTCCCTCTCCCTCCGTACTGAATCAGAGCTCCTGGATCTTCTTCAGGACCACGTGCCAGGCAGACTCCCCAGGCCCCAGTGCGATGAGCTCCTCTGGGCACATGCTTCCAAGGGTGCCTTGATTCCCCTTCGTGTTCCCAAGGGGGATGCTCATCCCCGACCCTCCAACAGATCCCTCCAGCAGGCACAGTTCCAGTGTCCTGGAAAGGTTTTGCTCTAAGGATCTGGCCTCCTCCCTTCTCCCAGCTCCCTGCAAGTCCCAGGGGCCAGAGTACTCCGGGGGCCTGCCAGCCCTCAGCTCTCCCATTCACCCAGAGAGCTCCATGGAGCCCTAGTGAGTTTTCCCATCTCTAGGATGGGCCACTGGCCTGGTCCAGCCTGCTTCAGAGACATGGTGGGAGACCAAGCAAGATGCACACACTGTGCATATGGAATAGAGGGTTGGCATCCTTTTCTAGGCTTCTTCACACACATGTCCCCATTCACAAGTGAGAAAGTAGACACACAGAAAGGATAATCAAGGAGTTCAAGATCTTCAGATTATGAGACTTAGAGTTAGGGCCTAGGACATGATCTAGTCCAACATCCCCATTTTACACACAGGGACAGGAGGCTCAGAGAAGGGAGGAGACTTGCCCAAGGTCACCAAGTGGTCAGTGGCTGGGCTAGGACTTGCACTTGAGCTCCTTAGAGCAGCCACGGGACCCACTGTTGGCCACACACCCCTGAGACCAAAGTGAGGGAAGCCTGCAGCCAGAGTCTGTCTATCTGTTTCAGCAGTTAGGATGGCACCCATGGTCCCCACTCCACACCCGGACTCACCTGGTGTCCATCACGACCTGCTTCTTCAGGCACAGTGCAGGGCACTGGGATCTCTGGTGTCCTAGACTTCGGGTAAATCCCTGCAGGAAGATCGGAGTTCAGCGCGGAGCTCAGGGGCTCTCCCTCCCAACCTCAGCCTCCCAGGTCTGGAGAACAAGCCCTCCTAAGTCACCCACACGGCAGCCCACAGGGTGAGGTCAGCGAGGATCAGAGTAGAGGGGCTCTGCAAACCCTGTCATCCACCATTCCCACTTCACAGATGGGAAACCGTGGGACCCAAAGATCTTCAGATGACTCAGTAGACCTGGAGGGGAAGTGGGAGCAAACCAGGACCTCCGACTTCAATCAGGAGCCGGTTCCAACTGCCTCAGACCGTGAGCTGGTCTCTCCCAGTGCTGCGTCTCTGCTCTCCACCACACATTTAAATGTCTCACTGGAAGTTTCTCTGAATGGAAAGGTGAGGCTGCCTGCGCCATTTGGTGTCCAGGCACATCCTTTACCCTACCCTCTCCCCACCCTCCCTCTCTATGTAGCCTTCTGAGGTCTCACCAGGTCACCTGCTGACCCTCCCAGGCTGAAGCCACCACCTTGGAGCTGCCCCACCTCTGGGATGTCAGCTCTTGCCTCCAGCTTACACCCCACCTTCGTGCTGTGACCCAGAGCCTCCCCTCCCTGTTCCCAGAAGGAAGGCCAGCGGGGAGCCCACTACTGCCCGACTTCTCTGCCCGCCCTGCCCCACATTCTTGTTGCTTGAGGTCTCCCCCCTTGCCCACCTCCCAGCAGAAGCCAGTGCCCCAACCCTTACCCCATCTCGCCCAGGCTCTGGGGGCTTACGAATCTAGGAAGGCACAACAGGAAGAGCCAGGATTTGCGGAGGTCGGGGAGCTAATCCCATAACCTCTAGAGGCCTCGTGAATTCCATCTGTAAAATGGTGGGTGTCGGGGGAGATCTGTGATTCCAAACAAGGTGGTAAAGTCCAAGGCTTTTATAGAGACCCCTGCCCACTCCCGCCCCAGACTGATTCGGGGTAGAACCAACTTCCAGCTCAGCTTCTTACACGCTCTATGACTGGGCAGGTGGCCTCCCCTCTAGAACCTCAGGTTCATCATCTGCAAGACGGGGGTGACAGCCACCTCTGTGTCACAGCGTGAGCATGAGGATGAAATGGGAGGACACCTGCAAAGAGTTTAGCAAAGGGCCAGCACATTCTAGGAATCCTGAGGACAACCCAGCAACAGCCGAGAGTACTAAGCCCTAAATAAATTATGTGACATACTTTATGTGGGTGATTCATAACAGCTCACGAGGTGGCTTCTCCCCAGCTACATACTTGTGGGACATGGGACAATAGGAATCTACCCCAGGCAGGCAATCCCTGAGGGAATGCAACCTTAACCCCAGGACAAGCTCTGTACCTGGATTAAGATGGACGAGAAGCTCCGGTAGTCACTTGCCCGATGTCAGCCTGGGGCAGGAACAGCTTGCCCTGCCCCGAGGGGCTACAGGGCCACCTGCCTGACCCCAGCTTGTTGGCTCCAGGCAAATCCATACAGAGAGAGCTGACCTTCCCAGACTGCCATGAAACAGGGAGCCCAACGAGGAATACCCCCCTACGTCGCACCAACCAGGGTAACTCACCTACCAAGGCCGGCTCAAAATAACAGGCCCACGGGTGCTGCTCAGACTCCTGCTGATGGGGGGACCATCAGAGGCCCATCAGAACCAGAAAGAACTGGGAAGAAGGACCCCTCGGTCCTTCCATCTGCGGGGCAGCTCGAGGAGAAAGTCTCTGCGTCCCTTGAATTCAACAAGAATTCGGGGGGTACAATTTAGCTTGGGAGAGATATCGGTTAGGGTCTAACCAGGAAAAGAAAGACCACTTCAGCTATTTACAAGACAATTGAACGCAGAGAATGGTTTCCACAGGTGAAGAAGGAGCTGAGGGCCAAACAGGGGAGAGTGACGCAAGCGGATCCTGGCAGGAAGTTGTCTCCGAAGGAAGAAGGGGTGCCCCCCAAGGGTGCACCCCCCAGGGTCTGGGGTCACTGTGTGGAAGCTGGAACTGCAGACATGAAGCTGCTACCTAGGAAGCTACCTGGGACAGAGGGGAGGGGGAAACATACCCTGGATCTTCCCATGGCCTCTCAGTCTCCTGCCAGGGCCCCCAGTGGCTGACCTCTGCTGGAAGCCAGTCCCCTAGGAGACACAACTGAGAGGGGGAGGGACAGAGAAAGGGTCTGGAGGCCAGGAGGCCCAGGGTGAACACAGGGGGTCAGAGGCTTCTGAGGGGTAGAGACATTTAACTGAACCCTCGAGGATGAGTAGGTGCCAGCCAGGCCAAGCACCAGAGAAGAACATTCCAGGCACAGGTGGCACCTAGTGCAAAGGCTCAGAGAGGGGAACAAGTCTGGCCCCTGGCGGGATAGAAAGGAGTGCAGCCGACGGAAGGAGAGAGATAGGAATTTCCCTGGGCTCCAAAGCTGATACATGTGAAGTATTAGCCTGCTATTACGGGCGTGAAAATGGAGGGGCAGAGTGTGGCATCCAGAGCCCAAAGAGCCCCTCTAATAAGACGATCACGCAATCCAGACCCGACCTAGACCCAGCTAGACGCTTGGAGAGGGAAAGTCATTCCATTCCGTTCCTTTGGCAGCCTCCCTTTCCCTACCACGTACACAACCCTGAAGGAGGCTCCTTGTCTGTCTCCTTGTCTCTCCAGCTACAGACACCACCCAGGTTGTCCCTGACCCTCTCTCCAAAGCTTCAGCGACTTGCTTTCTGGGGCACAGGTGCTCCCTTTGGCAGAAACACCCTTCTATCACCCTGGAGGATGTTGAAATCATGCTTCCTGTTGCTTCCAGGAATCATTTGGTCAGGATCAGATTCAAGGGTGGACCAACCAGCTCAGCTGCTGAGGTACCACAACACCAGAAAATGAGAGGAGAGAAAGAAAGCCGGAGAAGAAAACTGAGTCTTACCAAATCTCAGTATGAGACTGGAAATCACACTTTGGTAGATCATTTGGAGTGAGGTTACAATCATGTAGTCACTTCTTGTGATCAACCTGGCTTCAGAAGAGGCTGGGTCTGCCGAACCATGGGCTTTTGGTTTGCTGAAGAAAGGCTGCAAGTCTGGGCAGAACCGAACTGCTTAGGACAGGAGAAGTGGGATGCTGTCACCAAAAGGCCCACACTTACCCTCCCTCCATAAAAATCCGCTCTAAGTGGATGTTGAACAAATATTTGAGGAATATTTATTTAATGCTGGAACAACTGGACATCCACACATAAAAGAATGAAGTGAACCCATACCTCACACCATATGTAAAAGTTAACTCAACATGGATGAAAGATCTAATAAATATAAAAGCAAAAACTATAAAACTCTCAGAAGACAAGGTGAGAGTATATTCATGACCTTGGGTTAGGCAAGGTTTCTTAGACAGGACACCAAATGAAATGGGGAATGACTTCAGTGAGTATAGGATTTCTTTATGAGTGACAAAAACATACATACCTTTGACTGTGGTGATGGTTGCACCACTCAGTGAAGATACTAAAAACAGTCAAATTGCACACTTTAAATGGGTGAAATGTATGGTATGTGAATTATATCTCAAAATAGTTTTTTTAAAAGAATATTCATTTAGGGGCGCCTGGGTGGCTCAGTGGGTTAAGCACCCAGCTCTTGGTTTTGGCTCAGGTCATGATCTCAGGGTCCTTGGATCGAGCCTCACATCAGGCCCTCTGCTCAGCTTGGCATCTGTTGAAGATTCTCTCTCCCTCTCCATCTGCCCTTCCTGCTCATCCTCCCTCTCTCTCCCTCTCAAATAAATAAATAAATCTTTTTAAAAAAATAAGTAAAAAAAAGAAGAATATTCATTTAAAGAGACACCAAAATATTACTTACCTACAGAGGGGGCCTATGTGTCTCAGTCCAGCCTGAGTAAAGCAGATAGAACATAGATCTTGGACACCTGCAAGTCTGCGTTTTAATCATATCCAGAAGCCTAGAAAGTTATGTATCTTCTCTAAGCCTTGGGATTCCCACCCACAGAAGGGGTATGGTAATAAGTACATACAAGGTAGATTCTTAAAGGCACTGACTCTTAGATTGCCAGAATCTTTCAACAAAGGCATCTCAGACCTGAAAGAATGTGTTGTTCAACTTCCCTGTTAACCAGTGCAAAAATCCCCTTTTCAACTTCTGAAACGAGACGGTCATCCCATTGGCTTGCTTGCATATCCCCTGGGACAGGGAGCTCATCCCCCTTCCCGAGACAGACACCTCTATTCTTGGTCAGCTCAGACTGATGTCAAGGTCTTTCTTTAGAGTTAAACCGTCCCTCTTGGCTGCCACTTATAGGCCCTGTGTCCTGCCTTTCAGGCCCCACAGAAGCCCTTCAGACATGAAGTTTGTGTTAATATGTCCTTGAGTCTGTCCTTTCCTGGGTCAAACATTCTATCTGACTTCCATTTGTTGAACCCTGTGGTTTTTCCAATGCAGAAACAAAGGCCCAGAGAGATTCACCACATGTAACACGGTGAGTTAGAGGACACACGGTGAGTGAGTGGCCCAGCACGTATCTACCCCAAGCTCCTCTGACAGACAGCAGAATGTGGATCCCCAGGGTTAGCACAGGGCCTTCACTGGGGCTCTGAGTTCTGTGTCTTGCCTCCTAGCCTAGGGATCAGTGCAGGATTTATCAAAGAAACATCATGACAAACACAGCATCCAGCCCCAAGGACAGCTCACCAACACCACCCCCCGCTCCCAGTAGGGCTTGCATCCTGGGTCCTTCTGAGGTTAGAATGGTTGGAATGAATCACCAGTACCCAACAATTATGATAGTCCCTGGAAGAGCAGAAAGATGGGTAAAACAGGCTCTCTTTCCTCAAGTAATCCCCGGTGTTGTGAGAGCAATAGGTATATAGACGACCAGAGAGCACAGAGGAAGACTTAGTATTCCCATTCTGTTTAAGGAGACTCAAGGAGATGAAGAGACTCACCCAAGGTCATACAGTGAACCAACATACAGAGAGCAGAAATTTGAACCCAGTTCTGTTGACCTCATAGCCTCTGTTCCTAAGAATTCAAAGCAGCATAGGGGCGCCTGAGGGGCTCAGTCAGTTAAGCATCTGACTCTTGGCTTTGCCTCAGGTCATGATGTCAGCGTTGTGAGATCAAGCTTCGGGTCAGGCTCTGCACTCAGCAGTGGAGTCTGCTTGTCTTTCTCCCTCTGCTCCCCACCACCACTAAATAAATAAATAAATAAATAAATAAATAAATAAATAAATAAATAAAAGGGAGCATAACTCAATGACTACACACATAGAATTTAATGTGCCAAATGGAGATAATGGTGGTGGTGAAGATCATGTCATTATTTATCAAGTGCTTACTCATGACTAAGCCCCTTGCTGGGCAGCAAACCACCAAATACTCACAAAACCTTATGGATGTGGTTATGGTTATTATCCCCATTTTATCGGCAATGAAACCAAGGCACAGAGAGGCAGCATAGTAATAGAATCTACTTAATAGGCTCATGGAGAGTAATGAGATAATGCATATAAAGCCCACAGCCTAGTGCCTTCATGACGCTGGTTAAGAACTCACTAAACTAGTTAATGATAATGATAATGTTGGCATTATAAGGGCCTTAGAGATCATCTAAACCAGGGATTCTAAAACTTTTTGTCTTAAAAACTAAAATGTGGGCTCTATAGTGGATGTTTGTTATGTCTGGTGGATGCCCAGCATCTTCGAACACCTGTGTCATGTGAAAGCAAGAAATGGACTTTCCCAGACTCCCTTGCAGCCAGGTTGTGTGAGTATGACCCAGGCTCTATCAGGCCGATCTGAAGGCAATAAGAACTAACTAATATTGTAAAAGTGACTCCAGTAGCCATGGTGTGTAGTGGTGAGACAGTCATTAATTAAGTTATTACCTGTTGTCAACTGGAATGAAGTTCCTTGAAAGTAAGGGACCCAATGTTCCCTGATATGGAATGGCACAAAGGGCATGAGGAACACGAGTATTAGGGGTGGAGTAACTTCTAATAACGGTCCTAGAGAGTTTAGAGAAATAAAATGGCAAGCTCAGAGTCATAATTTGTTGGCACAAGGCATGGCCGGAGAGTCAGAACTTTCTATGACTAAACTATAAGGAATCTCTCATCTCTTGCAGCCAAAGAGATGAAGGAGTCAATATTTAAAATAAAAGTTTGAGCATACAAGTTGCTATATTACAATGCAGGTCAAATGTACAGCCTTACCCCACACACGCCCGTGCATGCACACACGCATACACACGTGAAAGGTGTCCAAATGACCAACAA